AAAAACACAGAAAAACCAAATCACAGACGACAAACCCATGGAATCTGCTGATAAAAATTCAAACACAAAGCTGACAAGGTAACGAATGCAAAGCTTCAGTAACACGTGGGGTTGGGCATCTGTAGTAGAGCCAAATAAACTAGACAAGAACTGCTTTGATGACAGCTACTGGTGCTTTGGTGCTAGAGTGTTGGTCATAAACTGCTGTAAGTTGTGGTAACATGTACATGTACTTGTGACCTGTACATGCAGACAAAATGAGTAAATTCCAAGTTGTCCATGTTTCATACATTTTCCAGTTCTACAACAGCACTTGTGAGAAAAGACAGTTTTGTGCCAGACTGGCTGACCAACAATCCGTCCCTTGTGATGACAGACAAGTGTTTTTGACAACACAAGATCTGAACAATTCAAAAGAACTGAAACCCTGAGGGTGAGGCATTTGTGACAATTTTGAGTTAGAAATGGACAGTGCAAATGATAACATCAACGATAAACAAGTGACAACAACACTGAAAAAACAGAGACAAGAGAATGCAACAGCCATAGTTGATAAGAATAGTGGGAACACACAGGGAACATCTTAAGTTGTTGGAGATGAGAAGTTTATCTCTTTCAGATTCAAAAGGGGAATACAGCAGGGCTAACACAACTCAGAAATTTTGAAAAAGTATAGCAAGTTGAAACAGGTATGTCTGTGACCGGGTGTAGCTCCCTAGCACGTGTGAAGAAAGACTTTATCAAAGAAAAAAGAATGGTTCCTCTAGATGTCATTGTTGTAAGCACATTTGAAAAACTCCTTATCCAGAAAAGTCCCCAGCCATTTTGGTTATCCTTCAGGCAGCTTAAGAATCCAATCAGAAAGATGCTTTTAGTCATTTATCTGTGATAGTGATGACAAATATTTCCCGTCCACAGGTTCGGAGTATTTCATACTTTTCGATTTTCTGATCAAGCGTTTGACAAAACAACAGTCTATGATATTCTGTGTACTTCTTTGCACCACAGGTCAAAGGTCACATTATCATAAATTACTTAAGGCTTTCCAAATAGAAATCTACCACAATGCAACATGCTATACCAAACTGCATCCTAAAATCATCTCATGAGTTTGAAAGATTTGGAATCACTGCCTAACGTGTTGCATGGTTTTCTTTCCATAACTTCATGCACCACCAAGAAATTGCAAGTCTAGCTAAGCATTACAAATCTGATAACACTTTGCAAAATTGGACAAGATTCTCCACAAAATGTTAACCTGTTATTTGTTTGCCGGTGGAGGCATCACAGACACAAAGCCAGTCTGGTCTACCAACCAAACAGAGTAAGCTACATGTATAAGCTTCAAATAGCTTGCAATCCAAAGGGGTAGAATATGCCGTTCGATATGACTCCCTCCCCAACAAAAATCTGATATGCACATTGCACTTGAAAAATCTTATCTTTGAAGGTTTCTCTAACCGGTGCATGCAAGAGAAAGATAATTTATCATTCATTAACTTTAACCCTAACCCCCTAGGGTGTATGTAAAATCGTATTGAAATTGGAGGATTTGGGAGTGTTAGGGTTAATCAAAAGGAAAATTTGAAAAAAACACCAATTCAGCCAGAAATTCTGTTTGCACAGGCAGTTCTGCCTACCTTGCGGTCTGGCAATATTGCCCACTGCTCACCCACTATGGCATGTTGATTCTCTCTGTCTCAGTAAAACAAAAACTACCATCTGTCTCACGTATGTGAGGTACCTCATTTTTAACAATTTTCCAAACACAAGTAATTGCCAAAAATTGAAAAAAAATTTCTATCCTTCAACCATGTCTGAGACAGATACCAGTCTATGTCTGTGTACACATGTAGTTGAACAGGCTGGGCATGTGTTTTCTGAAACCCACAGAGGTTCAAAGCAAAGGCTGTCCATTATGTGTACAAAACTGGTAAGCACATCTGGGTCCTCAACATTGTGTCCAATTTTCAGAGAAGCAATGCAGTATAACGTGCAAAGGTACGAAATTTGTTGGTAGATTTAATGGATTTGAGAGGGTTTGGGTATACACATGCCTCCTGCCTAGCCCAACTCACACACACCAGAGACACAGAGAGATTCCAGAGCAAAAGTTTTGCCAATACCTCCATCCTCTTCTCTCCCTACAACCTCTACCTCGTTTGATTTCTCCCCCTGGCTACTGTCAACTACAGGAGACCCATTTTGGCTGTCGTCTGCTGGCTTGCTGGGAGAAGGCTCTGATTTGTTCTTATCAGCTACTTGAATGATGTCCTGAACAATTTCCAAGAAACAACATTTAAAGACAATTCAACAATAAAAACAAAGCTAAAATGTTTATGAATGATAAAATCCTATATTACGTGCCTTGGGATCTACCACCCTCCCTTGGATTTGTTCTTTGATCTTTTCCTCTCATCTTATTGACCTTTGTACATCCTTTCCCTTTGTTCTCTGCCCCTTTGTCCAGCCACCAGTTTTCTCTATATAAAAGTGAAATTTTTGAGTCAGAGAGATGTCAACTTTACTACAGCTGATTGTCTGGTTCTGCAATTTAGCCAGTTCTGCTATTCAGAAAAAACAGGCTTCATTTTCAGAAAGACAAAATTGCTGGGGACTCAATTCATACTTCTCTGAAATATTTTACTTGAAGATCTTGCAGAAAAACAATTTTTGTTTACAGATCCGCTGCAGTAAATTTTGAAGATCGGCAACAATCATTTTTGGTTAATCGTGGTTCCCAACAGCAGTGTGTGTACCTTCTGTGCAATGTTGCATTTGTTGCTCCATTAAAAGATCATCGCGGTAATTTTTTTCAAATCAAATCTGTTCTGCTACCGGAAATTATCAGCTATCCCACCATGAAATATGAGTTCTGTACATTTCAAATGTATATATTTTGGATACCAAGTGACAGCAAGATTTTTTGCCAGTTCTGCAAATGAGTTTTAGATTACATTACAATGCACTCTTTCAGCGAGCATGTAGCGTACATCCTTCTGTGTCGGAAAAACAAGACCTACATTGTACCATTTAGATGGCATGGTTTGCAGAACCAGCAAATGTTTGCGGCACCGGGAAACTGCTGACCAACATAAAAAGCTCACTGCCATTCATCTTTCAAATGACTGCCCAAAATTGTTAAGACTCATATGTAGCTGGATAATTCCCAGATATTTCTGGATGAAAACCTTTCCATGAAACAGGGGTATGGGTGTGAGTGGCCACTTAAACTTAAAGCTGAAAACAGCTGGCAAATGCTGACATGTAAAAGGTTCCCATGCTTTTGTACAGACCAGGTGTACAAAAACACTGAAATTCAGGGTCATCCTTTAAAACAAAAAAGCTAAAGTGATCTAAAAAGCTGAATTTTCACACCCCTGATGAAAGTAATTTTTTGAGGTGCCAGGGGACCTTGGACTCTTTCTGTTTGCAGAACTGATCAATCAACTGTATTGGTTGCTTTGCCCTGCACTGATTGTATCTATAAACACTATATTCTCAGTGTTGTCTGAAGGCTTGTCCGGAGGGTGAAAAACTAACTACGATGGGTGCAGATGTCTTATCACGCTTACACCAAGCTTACTGGGGTTAGCTGGCCAGTTTGATTCAGACGAGTTTGATTACCACGTCAAAAGGTGTTAGTAAGATCTACTTCAGGAATGTAGTTGACCTACTCACCTGTTTTTCTGATGGTACTGGTTGGTTGGCCTCTTTTTGCTTGTTGGAGTCTTCTTTGCTGCTGGTGCTAGTGGTGCGTGTTTTCCAGGGTTTGGGGGCCACTGTAACATTACTCTTTCCTTGGAACTTGGACATGCGTTCTTTGAAGCTTAGTGGTTTAGCATCTGGTGACTCACCACCCTGGGAGTCTGGTGTCTCCTGGGTGTTCACAGGGGCTTTTCTTGGTTTGGGAGGGGACACAGGCTTCTTATGGCTTGGCTTCTTAGGCTCAGGGTCTTGTGCATTTGAGTTGACGGCCTTCTCTTCAGGCTTGGCTACGGCTGGGGCTCCCTCTTCGAAGGAAGGCTGCTTACTGCCAGCAAGGGACCAGCGCTTCATGGCCCGGGGAGCGCTGCTGCTGTCGCTCACGGCTGGTTTGGCCGGAGTGACCGCGGTGGGTTCAAACAAGGCCATGTTAGCCCGGACGTTACCACGTCTGGGTGCCGCTGGCTTCTCTGCTCTGACCTTCACTGTAGTGCTGGGCTTCTCTGACAATTCGCTCTCTGAGGGTTTCTGCTGTGTTGGTGGAGGCACAGTTTCCTCTTTGTCAGTTTTGGATGCGATAACCTTTTCCTCTGTCTTGGACTCTGTCGGCGAAGACAACTCATGCATTGGAAGTGGCATGGCTGGAGCAGGCTGTTCATCTTTCTCATCCTGGTTCTTCTCTGAAGGGAACAGTTCTTTTGCCACAGATTCTTGCTTTGGAGAACTAATCTCATTAGGGGAACCAATGTCGTTTGGGGAACCAATCTCCTTTGGGGATAATATCTCCTTTGGAGTCACTGTCTCCTTTGGAATAGATGCTCCTACATTCTCAGTCAATACTTCCTCCACTGGTGTAGACACTTCCTCCTTTGAAGCTGATACCACTTCAGGGAATATTTCCTTCACTGGCACAGTCTCAGCCTTGGATGCAGCTTCAGCTTTAGGCGATGCTACCTCCTTGGGGGATCCGACTGACACTGGCATTGGTTCCTCCGTTGTCGGCGACTTTGACCTAATTGGAGAGGCGACTGCCTTGGGGGAAGTTGCCTGTTTGGGTGATGGCATCTCTTTGGGGGACACTGGCTCTTTTGGAGATGATACTTCTTTTGGGGAGGACACTCCAACAGGAGATGTTACCTCCTTTGGAGGTTCTGGCTCCTTGACTGGTGACACCAGCTCCTTCTTTGTGTCTTCATCCTTCTCCCTCTGTTTTGCTTCATCCTTCTTGGCATAGATGAACTTGTGCATTGGCTCTTTGCTGTCCTTCCTGGTGACAGGTTTGGCCTTCAATGCAACCGGTGAGATGGGCGACAAGGGAGATGTGGGAGATTTCTTGCCTTTTAAGGCTTCTGCGAGTCAACAAAAATGTAGTATAAATTACACAATTCTAGTATTGAGAACATTCCAAACATTTAACGGGCAGAGAAAAGTGACTCTGAACAGTGAGATGAAGTGAACCAATGTCACTGTTGGGGAAATTGGGACAGATTAGGATGGACTAGATGGTTCAATGATAAAACTGAATTAATGTATTGTAAGTGGCAATGGAGCAATATAGGAAGTCTACACATTTTTGCCTCGTGGAACTCCAGTGAAACTACAATGAGAGTTAAGCAAGGACGACAAAATGAACAATATTCAGTGTATAAGTCTACACAAAGTTCAAAACGAATGAAAATGTGCCTTTGGGTAGAACACCAGCACAACCAAGTGAGAGTCTGAAACACAACTTTGGTGAAATTTGACCTCGTGACATCCGTCTTAAAGTGGAAGTCTTTACCACTGGATGATTCAGTCAACACCTCCAAACTGACTGGTTCTCATCCTGTATTACGAGCTGATAACACTGCATGAGGGCAGAAAATCGTTCATGGGACACTCACGGCATGGGACTTTGGGACACTCAAGGCAGCAGACATACGGGTCACTGTTCACAGTATTATGCATGCTCAAAACTATGCACGCATGCTCAGAACTGGTAAACAGGACTGGTTCGTTTGTTGCCATCAAGCATCTCAAAGTCTTCCATTCATATTCAACTCGACAGGCACGTATGTGTTTTTGTTTTTCCTGGAAAGCTTTCACATATAAAACAGTATTAAAGCGCCAGGGTTACACACCATCAGTCAAGTCATCTTATGCCACTTTGGTAGATATGTACTGGTATTGCTGATTATTTTCAAGCAAGCTTCAATCCATCATGGCCACTGCATGTACAACAACATTACTGAGATGTTGACCGGTGCAGGATGGTCTGTGCTGCACTAAAGAGGCTTTGTATAGCAGCCATCTTGGAGGAACATGATTTTTTTCTATTGGAATGAATACGATTAGGCATGGCTTGTCTAATGCAAGAAATATCGGAGATACCATTAATGTGGTGGCACTAACACTCAAGCGCCCGTTCTTCGACTTTGATGCCTGTGTGTTTTTGCCAAGTCACGACACCTTATTGGTCGATAAGGCATTGAATGCATGCATCCACCTCTATGCAGGCATGGTGCCGTCACAGCAACAGCTTCTAATTTGGGTGGGCATATTAGCATGTAACACACATCTGGGCTTCATTATTCCCAATTTGTACACGGATTTGTCCTTTGCCGACAATGTTTCTTATGCATCTGTGACTTTGTGAGAAGAAAATTCACAGGCTTGATCCCACGACCCCATGCTCACTAATGCAGACATGACTGGCAAATCAGATGACAGACAAGCCAAATAATCAAACTTTCTCCCGCAAAAGGAACAAATCTGTCAATGGTCTTGAGTGATAAAATCTTTTTGTGGCAGTTATAGAGTCTGTTGGCATGGTGATCACAAATAACAATTGAATGGTACATCATCACGAGCACATGGTGCGTCCAGTTTGCTTGATGGTAAATCCACTATCCCACTCTCTCTACATAGAAAACATGCATACTGTATCTGTGTTTCATGCAACCTGAGAACTCAAGATCCATGACGAGACATTGGCAGCAGTTTCATGCTTTCCACTACAGATTAAAGTATGAACTAAAAGTTTGTTTTTCTAGACACAAGCTTGTCTACATGGAGCATGTGGTGCATATGCAGACACTTTTAAAGGCGGGACAGATGAAAGCAACAGATGTAGTCTGGTGCCTCGACTCAATTGAAAAAAAAAAGAGCCTGAAAGTTCACATTAATCATATTTTTGCATATTTTGTTGAACACAAAACAGAAAATTTAGATTGGAATTTCCACAAGAGTATAAGTAGTAACAGATTTTCTATTCCCCACTTATTTCTCAAAGAAATGAAAGCAAAGTGAAGTGCAACAAATAGAATTTTCTGTGGTAGTAAGCAAAGCGAGTTGGACCCTGAAATGGTTGTGATTCAGAATGATCTAAAACTATGAGGCATGCAACTGCAGTAGAACGACAGTGCAGGTACCTGACTTGTCAAACATATTCACACCATGCATAGTCACAGCACGAGACTTAACATGCAGTGCAGTGTTAGCATCAACACCACTGTCTCTAAGGCTGCTTGACCGCTGTTTCGGCGTCTCAACCGGCACGGCAGCAAGTGGGCAAGCCGGGCCAGTTAGTGCTGGGTCAGTCTCTTTCACAGCCACTTTTTCAGCCCCCGGATCACTGTCATGACTGGTTAGTAGGTGTTTTGTGTCAGTGGGCCTTGTGGTTTGGGGGGGAACGACAGGTTGGAAAGAGACCGGCCGTTGGCCAGTGGAGACTGATCTGTGTTTCTTAATGCGTGGTGGGGGAGTGGGATCACAAGTCATTTGATATCTGTTACGCTGTAGAGGGCTTGCATCTTCTTTGGAGTCAAAGGTCACCAGGTCATGCTTGACATCAGTGTTACCCACACTTTTTGCGTGGCTACTGGTTGATTTAAGACGGACTCCAAAGTCAATCGTTTCTTCTTGTATTTTATGATCATGTTTCTGTGATCTAGGTGGTATTCTGGGGGGCGTATCAACATGTTTCAGTTGGACGCCACTAAAACTCAGCTTTCCATCATCAGGTTTTGCATCAGGTTTGTTTAGCTTTGGTGAAGCCAGATTCTCATATGGGAGTCTTTCCTTTTTTTTATTTGAGGCTAGCAGATCTCCACCCAAGTTTAAAGGTATGTCCGGTTGGGAGAGAGGTCGGGGAGAACGAACCCCACCCAGGGTTTGCGATCGCCGTTTTGCCATGCTCACATACCCCGGTTCATCTTTTGTTTCTTCCAGTGCCTGGCCAGTTTTCTGCTGATTATGGGGCCTGGGTAAAGGTTTGGGCTTGGCCAAGTCCATGACTTGGGAAAAGTCAACAGTAGAGGGAATGTTGGGAAGTGTTAGTTCATATGAACTGGGGCGTGATCCCAAAGTCTTGGACCGACCTGTCCGCTTGATGACTGTGCTAAGTTCTGACATGAAGGGGTTCCCTGGTCTTCTTGACAAGGCAGTCATGCCTGTGGTCCCTTCTTTTTTTTCTGGACTCCCTGAGTCTTTTCCCCAACTAGCAAGGTCCCTACTGGAGTCAGATTGGGAGGTCACAGGGTCATGGCCCCCTTCCGGCAACAGCCTAAGCTTTTCTTTCCCATCGTCAGGTTTGACTGCTGGAATTTCCTTACAATTGGGGATTGCATTTAAGGAGTGGGGCGTGGCCGGAGCATGTGGTAATATTGGGACAGTGTCGGGCTGTGCAGGGGTTAGCATGTCACTGGTAAATGGGCTCTCTGTTAGAAATGAAACAAAAACAAGTGACAAATGAACAAAACTTAGAAAAAAGCAATAAACATAAATTGACAACATTTTCTTTAAAATGCTGTGCTTGAAGGAACTCCAGTGCTGCAGAAAAACAAAAATGTAGCTGGCAGTATTCTGCATACCAGTAGCATCTTAACATTTACCCGCTCTGTTTTAACTTGTAAGATGCCATCAGTACCCCAAAGCTTTTAATAGAAAAATGTTGTGAAAGTCATGCAGGTACGCATTACTTAAGTCAAAAAAATGCTGTGAAAAGCTCTACCTTTCTGAATGCTCATTTCAAAACAAACATAAACAACAAAAAATAAAAAACCAAACCAGCACCTCAAAAATCAAATAAACAATTAAGAAAAATTAAAGCAATAGAAAAAAAACACAGAGAAATCATAAAGTAAGTTAGTAAGAAAGCCACACAATTTTTCATATTTAGAGAACATTCAACACTTGTAAGAATTAGTTTGATAGCGAAGTAATATAAATAACAAAATACTCATTGAATAAAGGGGTTTTGGAGAGAGGGAAGACAAATCTGGGGAAAAAGGTTGGGAAACAAGCTACTGTGGTTTGGTGGGGGTGGGGCTTGGGTGGGGTTTAGGGGGAAGGTGCTTACCAAGGCACAGAGTTTATTGTGAACTAAACAGTTTGGGAGAGTTTGGCATTCATCTTTGAGCTTGGGGTCAAGGCACTGCACAATGCAATCGCAGAGCACAAAGTTTGGAACTGACAACATACAATTGCTTTGGTAATTTGTGCGAAGCCTGAAATGAGTAGGTATGGTGTACAAGTAAACCAAAATATGGCAAATCAAGTTTGTCTGAAAAATCAAAGCTCAAACTAAAGTGACTTTTATTACAAAAACAGAGAAAATAAAATGGCTTTACCACTGGTGTCATGCATCTTTTTTGCACCATGCATCACAGGATTGGTTGGAAGCCAAAAAGTGTTTATTTGGGTTACCTGTCTCATCAAAGCTTTTCGTCAGTTCGAGGCTCTTGGGCTCATTGTCACTGCCGTTGTGCTCCGGGGAGAGAATGCCCTCACTGGGCGCCTCACCGAGGGACTTGGAACGAGGCGGGGCAGTTCGCAGCCCGCCCCGGAGAGCCTGACCTGGCGCAATGGGTGGCAGCACCATAGGGCCCAGGGAGGGGGGACGAGGCAGTTTGACAGGTGGGGGCTGCTTGGTAGGCGGGATGGCATTGAAAGGGGGGGTAGTGGAGGACTTGACCTCAGCTGCCTTGGTCACGGAGGCCCGCTTAGAAGGAATGGGTGTGGTGGGTAGGGGTGGTGGGGAGGCAGAGGGCTTAGGATAGGGGCATGTGGTTACAGGGGTGGATTTGGGCCTCTTAGGGGTTGGTTCCGATTGGAGCAACTCACTGGGTGTCTCTGTAGGCTTGGGGGGGACTTCATGAGTAGTGACTGGCCGTTTGGAAGGTCTCTGCAAAAACACAATCAGAGTTTGGCTCAATATTAAACTGGCATGACCAATGCATTTTCAATTTTCTTTCTTCTTCAAGTACATGTACATGTATTCCTTTTTATTGCTTACAAAATGCATTTTCTTGCTCAAGTTTTTCAAGGTGAACTTGGGAACAGGAAGTTGAAAATAATAAGAAAAAAGTTGACCCAAGGAAGTATCGCATGTCTTGTTTGTATTACTCATCCAACGTTCTGCCGCCTTTTTCCCCATACGGAAACTTCGAACCAGCAATGAGTAACGGAGGGATTTGTAGGGTGAAATACAATCTCTCAACATTCCAAGGAAGAGGGGTCTTTCCCATAAATAAGCTGTTTGTGACATCATCATACTGCAACTATACACAGATTGTAAGGCTGGTACCATACTTTTGTCTGACTATTGAGATGTTAATTTCTTTGGAGATTTCACTCGTTTGTTATTCATTCGGTTGATTCTGTGATCTTTCACCCTAACCCTACATAATACTACAAATTACTACTTGTAGTAAAATGTAGTATTGAGCGCCGTCGCTTGTAAGAGGACATGACCGTATTGTTCTCTGAAGCCATAAAATACAATGTACCATGCAGTGCTGTGGCACTATGAATACATGGCTTTATTGTTTTCTGTCCGAGTAACAATGGAAGTAACCTAGCCAGAAGTTGTAATTTGTAGCACTAGGTTCTTCAGGCTCAGACTATTACCTAGTATTTTGTAGTACTGAGTAATGTAAGCCAAACAATATGCTTGGAAGTTAGGGTTAAAGCAAATCTTATTTGTAATCAAAACAGCAATAAAAAATTGCGACATTTTACAATGTAACTACGAATGTACATGTATGAATGCATCAAGCACGCATCTAAGGCAAGAAAGACGTGGAATCATTAGCACTTCAATACAGTAGGGCCTTCCTCGGAATGGTACCACAATGGTTACAGTCTGGGATGCAGTAACTTTTTTTGTGACATCATACGCAACCTGATATTGCGGTCATGACACAATGCAGAATGCACACAGAAACATGTCTTGTGACCCTAAATAATGGCAGCTGCTTGGCGTTTTGAAGAATCCCTTTCGTGTACGTATTACACATGTACACTGTTGCCATTGTGGTACAATACCAGTAAATAATGAAACTATCTTCCATCCCACTCTATTTGTCAGTGAAGAAGCTGAGAAAATTAAAGAATAGAATAGCAATCTAGAGCTGGGGTACGATAAAAGATTGCTACGGACATGGGATTAAATGACATAACATGACTCTTAAAAAGTTTATCTGCAAGTTTCTGCCATGCAGATTACCAAGATTACAGCCAGCCGATTACATGATAAATAATATAATACGATTGGCAAATACTGGCCATGTTTGCTATTAATTTGTGATAGGAGACACTCATTTCTGAAGCCCTGCGGTATTCTGATCAAAGTCAGGAATTCCATTCATTTGGTTCCTAAGTCGTTGTCCTAGATTGGCATTATGTAACGTAGTGCCACACCACGTTTTGCTTACGAGCCTTAGCCCTACCTGCATGTAAGCAGTGGAGAGCATCTCTCATACGCAAGCTCTATTCCTGCTGTTCTCAACATTCAGCAGGCAAAACTCAACATGTGAATACAGAAAGCAAGGGGGCAAGTCCAACTGATGACAACAGTTAACCACAGTTCAACTAACAGTGGAACGAAGGGTGGTTGGCTTTAGGCTGGTCCAGTGGACCAATTGGACACTGGCCCATGGGCACTATTGCACTGCATGTTATCAGCAGCCTTTTTCGTAGTTCAGTACAATTTTACTTCTTTTCTTTCGTTTTTAACACCCCTCTAGCCACGTTGTCTTTCTTCTCACTGATTTTCATAAACAGTCTCCTTATATGGAGATTGGCACAGCTGATGTTTTATCAACCGTTAAAGACCGGCCACAAGATCATGGTGATGGGTTCCCTACCAACAGGAAGGGCTAAACAGTGTTCGTTATTTTATGAATATTGTTTTATCAAAATTCCTGTACCGAGTTTTGCCCGCAGTGTCCGTGGGCAAAACAGCATGCACGCTTCTCCAATATCACACAGCATACTCCGCACATGCAAATCATACAGAAGTGCATGAATGTTGGATGGAATATGGGACTTTGGTCAAGCACTCTGTTGCACACTCAAAGTCTCAATAGGTCAAAACGTCAATGGGTGGGGCTTAATGACTGTCCTGTTCGATAACCACCCACACACTGGCACACAGGTATCTTGGGATTTCTATTCTTTCTAATTCAAGTGCACTTCATGTGAAGAATAGTTAATTTGTTAACAGTGAACACCCAGTCAAGTAGCATTACTCTTTTCCTCTTTCGTCTGTCTGTGAAATTATTTCAAGAAAGTGGGCATCAACATGACCCACATGTAGTCATGAGATAATGCTTGACCTTTCCCGCTTTTGGAATGTCATGTTTCGGCAGCTTCACATTTGACATTACTTCAGATACCAAAGGCTAACTACTTACGTGTCCAGGTCTGGTTGTTGTCCTTCTTGCCCTAGGAGCCACTGAGATGCGATGCCGGGCGGCTGTGTTCTCGAGTAGACCGGTGCTGGTTATGAGGTCCAAGTTGAAGTCGTCAAATTGGATGTCCTCTGAAACAGGAAAATGAAACATTTTGAAGCAATTCGGAGATAACAAAACATTAGAAGATGGTAATGTGATGTAATGTACGTGATGATGTGACTGGTGTGCAATGAGAAATATCTGAAAGATCGCAAACTACATTGGCAAGAAATGACTGGAAAATAATCACAGCTTTAAAATTTGGAAAAGTCATTTTAACAGAATTTGTGGTTATTAAGTTTTGAGCCGTCCAATGCTTCAACTTACTGGCAGATAACAACAATAATTTAAGACAACTTAAAATGAAAATTAGGGGCTATTTTGTTTCGTGCTTCAACACATATTGATTTATATGTCATTATAATGGCATGAAAATACACAAGGCGGATCCAAAAATCAAATCTTTTGGGGAGGAGGGGGACCATATTTTGGGGAGCAGAAGTATTTGAACTTTATTTAACATTTACTGCCTTTCTGAAGGATGAGGCTTAATTTTGGGCTTTTCAAATGCCTTCGGATGGAAGGGAAGTAAACAAGTCCACCCAAAAATTGCCTTTCTATTATTTGTGACTGTCAACAAATTCCCAGTTCAACTTGTTATACGTGACTAACACATTTAGTTGTTAGCTAGTCTGGATGTATGCCATGACGTCATAACAGCTGTATACATATTTATATACATATAAAGTACAGAAGTCACAAGTATGTTTCTTCCGAGAAAGTACACTGCTTAAATATTTCTCAAAGAAATATTCAGGAAAAAGGGATTAGAACAAATGTCACCGTCTTGAAAGCCAAATGGCATGATTAATGATTTCACAAATTCAAATCTTAACACTGATGGATGTTGAAACACTAGAAATCTTCCAATTTTTACCTGGTGCAATGACGTGGATCTTGCCCTGCTCTTGCTGCTTTCTCTCCTCATGGCTAGCTGCCGTGAAGCTCTTCTGCATGGGACAGGGAAATGGACAGGACAGAGGACACTTAAACTCTGGAACATCCTCTTCAGGTTCCTTGAAAATGTCTTCCTCATAGTACCAGATGGAATCCGAGTTGAGCAACTCGCCGTTCATTGTTCCAGGTCGCCGACAGTTTTTTCAGGGGGGATTTAATTTAGATCCTTATAAAAAAAGACAAGGCATTCTTTTAATGGAAACGGAGGTCTTAGGCAGTTGTTATGGCTCTACATCACCATTTAAATGGATGGTCGTTTTGAATCTATCAGATCTTGTCAGGGGTGAAGACTTTGGAAAAAACTACAGAGGCAGAAAAAAAATTGCTGGTTAAGGGTTGTCTACAGATGTTGGATGCTCCACTGCCACATCGTTTAACCCCTTTCTTTCCCTATTTCTACAGCTCCCAAAAAAGAAGAGGAAAAAAAGTAGCAGTGACTCACATCCATGTCTGCCTGAGACTGTTTCCTGTCAATTACCCAAAGTTCTCAGATGTATAAATAAAACCAATGCCAGCAAGCCTGCAATGGATCGCCGGGGGGGGGGACTCCACCTGCGCATTTTTGCCTTTGACCTTTTCCATAAAAAACACTGGACACTTGAGATAATCTCTGAGTCTAAACTTACTCCTCCTTCCATGGGAATAGTTTAAATGAGTGGAGGAGGGCCCAGTATCTTTCATCACGTCATCAGAGCACATTTTAGTTTCTAAGATGTTCACATAAATGTTCCAAGAGGGGACAACAAATTGTCTGTGTGGTGCAAATTACAAGTGTTGGCAGCTGAATAACCGTGGGAAAATAATTAGCAAAATAAATTGGTTGCCATGGGCTAATTACGTGATGCAATTGGTCAAAATTAGGCACAGTTCAGGAACAAATCATTAACCGAGTTGTTACTATTGTTATCCATGAAATAAAGACCCTCACCGTAGCTTTTTGTCTATGTTTCATTGAAAACTTTGTCAGCAAAGTGTAATTTGCTAAAATATTATGCTTTACAAAGAGACTTTAAAAGACGCAATTTCAGTTGGACATTCTCAAAATACTTTGCATTAGTTTGCATTAGTGGTATGGTGCATTTACTAAATCTCAAAATCTTTAAAGCCAACCATTTGGGTGGCTTTTTGATGGATCATAAAACTACCAACTAATTTTTAAATACTTATTTACAATCACTGAACTTATTTTTGTAAAGTGCACTACAATCAATATGTCTGTATTTCATAAAATTTCACCCTACACCACCTCTGCTGCATTCTGTGCCACTGGGTGCACCACCGTGTGTGTCACCGTGTGCCATCCTGTGTGCTAGATCTTAATAATATTATGGGCAGAGGCACATACCACAGATAAAGCCCGAGGGGCCTTTTGCTACACATAAAGTAAAACTGAAGGACGAAATAACTAAACAAATTTCATTATTCGACTCCGATTTGACTTTTCCACTATAAATATTCAAGAACATGAATAAAGTGTCATTATGCAGTTCTAAATATGTACCTTGAAAACATGTCATTATTGGAACTAAGCCCGTATCTGGTGTAAAACATATGCTTGTTTAAAATTATCTCAACAATACTTTTATTCTCTAATTAAAAATGTCAACTGCCTGGCAGTTTCATCTCAGTTGTAGCCCACGTGTTCATTCATACATGTATGTGTAGCAGCTTTAGCATGTTTACGATGTGGCCAAAAAATGAGAACCAATCGGCAAACGCTACAAGTGTGATAAGGTGACTGGGCCAAGCTCGTTCGCAATGGTGTGAATAATGTATCACAGGGTTCCAAAAATTCCAGGCCCACAATAAATGGGCCCCCTTCACCTGAGAAATGTGAACTGTAGTTGATTCCAAGCTGAAGCGCCACTTGGGAAGGATTGTATGTTAAGCAGCTCCAGTGCAGGGAAATGAAACTTTTCCGTTTGGACTTGCAGAAACTTGAGTGATGGAGGAACGTCTGCTGACTTACTGCAAAGCAGTTGTTGACGTGCATTGAGAGGGAAATAGCTACAAAACCGAAAGTGCGTATGTGTGTGCATATTTTTGACACTTAAAACAAATTCAAACACTACTGATGTGACAAGAACTTAGCGCTTGACACATGTTAACTTTGACTTTTACTATGTTTCTAAAACAACCTTAACCGCACATGGGCATCAAAAGAACTCTGAAATATTAGCCGCCTATTAAGTGAAGAGCTGTCTAAAACTTGGTGCTTCGTACATGTAATGCTAATATGTGAGTAACTGTTTTGGATTCACAACAGAAGCATATGAAATGTGTTCAAAACTGTGGCATGCCATGGCATTCCGATACTGAAAGTTTTTATACACACACTCATCCAGCACCAAAAATGCTGGGTTTGGGAGGGTTTGGAGTACTTGAACAAGGAAATGGTAAGTTTACTTTATGTAAAGCAATCAACAGTTACCCCATACAGTAGCTCTACAAGTCATCTGTATTTTGATAGATTTCAACAAACCTTTTTCCATAGTACCATGTCCTTTCGCTTTTTGAAAGTCAAGAGGGCATTCAACAAGTTACATGACAGTATTTCTAAGAGTGGACACTGAGAAAAAAATCAAGGAAAAAGTACTCAGAATGGAACCAAACTTTTGGTTTTGTCATTAGCAGGAATTTGAAGCTTATTTTGGAAGAAAGAAATAAAGAAATAGCAGTGTACAAGTTGCAATTTAGCAGGAATATGTTTCAAATATGAAGTTAATTTCAAAGGCCAAACTCAAAAAGTAAAAAAATGACAAAAACAAAAGTAAACAGGACTAAAGATTTCTGTTAATATTCTGCACTGAAATCAGTCAGCTTTAGTATCGGAGAAAGTTTAGCGGTTGAGCAGTGCTCACACATGAGCAGTGGCAATGCCGCCAATGAAATCATGTGTTCATGCTGATGACCCTAAGTGCTAGAGTGAGGGCGTCCGCTCAAATCTTCCCTGAGCATGCTTCTGAAGGGTTTTCCCACTAGTGCTTGAAACGCACTAAGCATACATTAGGCCCTACACTGTAACATTACATCTGCAAAGGGCAAAATCAAAACACGTACATTCAGTGGATATATCTTGGCCTCCATGTTTGCGCATTTTTAAGCAGTCACAAGGGTTTCAGCACTTGTGTGATCTGCTGATGAAATCATGGTGTCACGTGGGCCAATTCTGATACTGGCTGACTAAAATACAAAGTGTGTCCACCACAGGAAAATTAAAGTTTCCCTTTGATTACTAACAGTTAAACAGACAGTGACAAAAAACAAAGAAAATTCCTAAACTGCAAACAAAAAGACAGGCAGATAACATCCCACAGAGAAAGAAACAAGAAAGAAGGACCGGAAATACCAAAGTTGATGAAAATCAAGCTGGACAGAGACGATCAGTGATGTTTTTGGTGTGTGAAATAGATACATATCCCCTACCCAAAAGAATTGCAGCAGATTTTATGGACTGCGGCTTATATATCTTAGTATTCCACACCGTGCTGCAAATAGACTAAAAATCTTTCTTGTGTTATTGCAGCATGTGACTAGTTCTTAGCATGGAGTGTAAAGGTTTTACATTTCAAAATAGTGCTTTGCCATTCTTAAATTTTAAGAAAACATTTGAATTTTTGAAAAGGGCAGATATTTGTGTTAACATGTAGGTAACTAAACAAAGCGTTATCACCTCTTTTGGAGCAGATTCGATCAAAAAATTGTTCCTGATCTACCACTCCCCAAAACCATGCTAAAGAATTCTAAGCTATCATCTGGGATATAACAACACTACAAACTCCACAACTGTCATTGCCCCAAACTACATGTACGAGCACACGTACCAAAGCTTTCCACAGACAAAATGTTAACTTGGGACAATGCTTGTTAACTTTGAAGTATGAAAGTTAGCAGTGTGGAAGAGGAATTGATAACATCAAAATTACCGCTTTCAACCTGGTTTTGGAAAGAGGGGTCACATGTTGATGCAGAAGGCAGCTCCAAATGTTAGAGTTGTAGTCAAGTCAATCAGAAGTCAAATCAATGAACCGGGGATGAGCAGAGATATAAGGAATGTGTGCCACACATCAATGGAATCGCATGTGACTCTTATAATACCGGATGACTTATGATTCACAAGTTGTGATTTGAAGACTTGACGAGAATTCTTCTAAAATTGACGGGCAGTTTACTGTCACTTCCTTGCCAGGAGGGAAGCAGGAGGAAGAAGGCACGAAAATGTTGCCAGAAAGTGCTACAGAAATTTATTTTAATGGAGCACCGTCCCGTGGCTAGTTGATGCAAAGGTTGTGCTGCAATCACGAAAAAACTCTGTGAATATAACTGCCCAAGCATCTCCACAAAAGGTACAGTAGCTTAGCAAGGACTGCTCTGATTAGCAAAGCAAATGGTGAGTTTTCCCAAAGCAGAACCCAGTGGGAAGTGATTTCAATTACCCATCGCCTAGCTTTGGTGGCTGGTGGTTGCCGCTGTTGCCGAGAAGAAAGCTGCGGAATGTGTAAGATACCACAAAAAAACAAGAAAAAAACAAAAAAAATGTGAACAGGTTCTGAGATATCAAAGATAACAGAAGTCGTAAAAATGACACATACATGTAGGCGATTGAGGATGTACTCAATCATACATGACCAAGTTAAAGCAAGAACTATGATTAGTCACACACGGGGTAGCTTTATGTATAGTATGCATGAAAGTTGATGGTTGGAAGAGTCAATTTTGCCTGCCATGCAGGGTTACATCACATTAATAGAGCAAGAAGAAAGGACTATGTTCATTGTTACCACACATAATACTTCATACATATTCATGACCAAAAGTGAATTCTTACTGGCCGATTAATCATCACGTGCCAGTTGCTATTTTTGCTGTATTACGAGGTGTGCTCGTGAGGATTGTGAAGTAAATTGTTGTCAAGCTTAAAGCCAGTCTACCAGGCTTGAACATTTGCTCAACTTTAACCTGGGAAAGAGCCCACTCTGTTTGCACTATGAGAAGCAATTATTCTGATTGATTAGATTCTGATTAGACTGAGTGACTTGTAAAGGAAATTAGTCAAATGAGGACTGAACTAGGAAGTCAATCTACTCGGTTGCCTTGATCTTAGATTTTTGGTCAATACAGTTGTTATTCTCATTATTATTCATTTCTTGTAATGACACCAAGGATTCCTCAAAAGTGCCCTGGAGTTCCATTACAAAAATGCCAATATATATGTACATGTTACATCACTCATAACGTGGTCACACAGTTCTGTGGTATATGTGTATTTGCTGAATCATTCTGAGCCAGGCCACCTGTTTGAATGTCTCCAGATTCACAGATCTACTGGTATTTTCTGAGTGTTGGGGCATATAGCATGCAAAGTCACGAAGTTGCTCTCACACAAGGCATCCACTTTAAGGTACATATAATTACAGAGGATTTGCAAGTCTGTTTACTTGTTCTCGGAGGTATTGGAAGTTGATTATAGTACTAAGATGGGCTTAGTGACAGAGACTTGTTGTCTTGAATCTTAACATCTCAATTTACCTTTGCCTCCCCAACTAGTTTGTCAACTTCCAATTCCTCAAGGAGGTAACACTATTAACCAAATATCATCTTACATTTACATGCACTAATGCATACTCAAAACAGAAACCAATGTTGAGGTGAATTTAAATTGACCCCATAAGGACTGACATTGTAATTTGATGTACTTTTCCAACGAAAATAAATGCAGATTTGCATCTAATATGTAAGACAAAACTGTCCTTCCGAGGCCTGTGTTTTGGTCATGTCATATTTTGGTAATGCTTGAAGATTCTACAAACCTCATTATCTATGCATACCTGTATTTCTCTTCAACACATTTGATTTGGTTGTATGAGACCTAGGTAACTAATGTAAAAAACCTCACCATCCATCCACACATGATTTGTTTTTGTATCAATTTTTAGCTTGGTCACGTTATCTTTAAGCAATTCTAACAGATTTTACCAACCTCATCATCCATGCTGATACCATCACTTTTCCTCTTCTCACTGCTCCTGGCCGCAGGTTTCAGTGGCACAGGCTTGTGTTCTGGTACCCTGGATGCCACAGGCTCTTCAGCTGTCCTCTGTACATCATCTTCTATGCCAGAGCGTCTCTTGAGCTTGGCTGTGAGCTCATTCTACAAATGAAAAATATCAAAGACTTGGTGATTGTTTGTTAATGTTGCCCATACAGTTCAAGGCTTAAGGGCTGACATCATCAAAAGTTTACAGCAAAGTAAAGTAGACTTGGATGCAAATGTATGCATTTAACCCTTTGGTTTAAGTGTGATATCTCTTTAGTTTAAACCATATCTGCTGCACATAGAGTTACATGGAATCATGAAACTAGAAGTTAACATGTAGCTTGAGTGTTCATCAAATGGGAGCCTGTAATCAGTGGTGCCTCCATGTGTATGGCCAAGGCAGTTAGAAACCGGACTGCAAATTTGTACGGTAGTGTGAATATTTGCCGCGATGGAACAAATCTTCTTTCACACTCACTTTCAATGTGATTATCAACTGCCTCAAGAGAAGCAGTTCCTACAGATGCGCGAGATAACACTTTATACACGCTAACTTTCAGCACTTCTGCCAGCACAAAGAAATGACTCATCACTTAGCTAAGGCCATGTCCGAAACAGGCTTCCAGAGCTACGGCTAGGTCTTACTGTCTACGCATCTCCATGCATTTCCAATTTGGAACGAAGACCTACACCTAGCTCTAGACAAGAGATTCGGATGCAGCCTAAGCCTTAGCACATGACGCAATTAAAATGAATACCTTTGCTCCAGTAAGAATTTTTCTCTTGTTGAAAAGTTTGATCAGGTGGAATCATGTTTTGATACCACAAATACTTTTCACCTCTTGGAAGGCAATCTAGGGTAAAAAAATAACCTGATTTTTTCCTTTTTATTTCATTGTATTGCACCTATGAATATTCAAAATGAAAAATAATTTCAATGATCAATCAAATGTTCAAATATTTGGCACAGGCATGATGTACATGTACGTAAGCTTACAAACTCAACTTTATTAATGTCCTTTACCAACTCTACTGCTCCAACAAAGCATCATCTAAAACTCCCTCATTGAGTTCAAAGTTGAGAGGCAACTCACCGCAAACCCACTAGGAATGTTCATCTCGGCAGACGTGCGGACTTCTTCCTTGGTAGGGGCTGGCTTGTCGGGGCTGAAGACACTGTCTTCAGACACGCTGATGCCCTTTGCTAGGCTGGGTGAAAGCAGGCCAGGAGATGCAACCTCATCCCTGCAGGGAAGAAAAAAGTTCAGATTTACCTTGAATTTCATTGAAAAAAGTTTACCAAAAATGACAAGAGCAGGAACTCTTTGTCTAGGGGAGCACCAACAGAAGACACAACTTAAAGATATTGACAAATTCGGAGGCTATCAGCTTAAATAGGGCAAAAGAGCTCATCTGGATGAACACAGGCAGTAGACTTTGCACCTGAGTCATTCTATAAAGTCGGGGTCCATAAGTGTGACTTTTTGTGTCCCTGTTACACCTAACCAGTGTAATTTGATATGGAAATGTCACTGAAATTGATTTCAAACTATTTCCATTTATTTGGCAGGCAATTTGCATTAATTCATCACTCTTGAAGATGAGACAATTTGTTCTGCACTTACAAAATTATATGTTAGATGTGACTGGGAAACAAAAATAATTGGACCCCTAATTTATAGAATGACCCACTCGTTACTTTGTCCTGAAATCAACCATGGGCAAATCTTGACCTGAATTACAGCTCAACCAGTGTCAACTGATTCTTGCTAATGTGCAATACACATGTACTCCTACTGAAACAACCAAAGTCAAAAACTATGTTTTTGAATTTTACTCTGAATCACATTTCTCACGGCAATTATAATCCCACTGTCTTCACAGATTTTACCATGCCATAAAATTGTTTCCACGCTAAAGGTTCCTTTTGCACTCAATACCGGTGATTCACAATAGCGCGCCACCAAGAATTTGTAGCACGTTGGCCAATCATAACGCGCGAAATTTGTCGACCCTTTCCAAACGCACATTGGGTCGACAAATTTCGCACACTGTGATTGGCCAATGCATTGCAAACTCTTGGTGGTGCACTATTGTGAAACGGCCATATTACGAAAAACACTCTTGACAACCACGAATGTAACCCACACCCCAAAGCCTAATTTTTTAATGGATGATTAGTTAGTCCAAGCATACACTGTTCAGGCAACATGGCCAAACTAGAGTTAATAATAGCACAGGTAGTTGTTCTAACTTGTCCTTGTTTCAAATAGCCAAATGATAGAAAAGTCTGACTTCTTAAAATCTGCCACTGAACATCAAATACAGGGGTGTACATTTTAAGGGTTAAAAACATGACTGCCACTGTGTGAGAACAGTGAACCAATCCATCACAAATCAATCAAACGTCCAATCATGTGTCAATCCACAAGTCACCAAGGACTGAGCTGAATTACACTGAGTCGAGCACCGTCTCAGCTTATAACTTTTGACTTTATGCAGAACAAGATGACTAGTGACTGACTTGAGGGTATCATGACCTGGTTACAAATGAGCACCATTTCTTACACATTTACAGGCTATTTTAGCACATAATTTCTCGGACAAAATAATTCTGGATGACCCAAAGTACACATAATGCCCACAATCAAGAACTAATTCACCACCACACCCATATACATCAGGTAGTAGAATATACATAACTATTTGTACCATACTGGTAAATATTAGTAACAGTACAACTATAGTATGTGGAGCCCAGCATACCTGACTTGACAACAGCATATTTTTGTTATCAGTCTCAGATATCAGCAACAGATTTGGTCTGATTATCTTAACCACTTCTGATCTTGCTGTTCCGAGGTTTGGCAGGAAAATAGTGCAAATTTCTATCTATGTATATTTGTTTGTAGGTTCAGGAGTTAAGTGGGCTCTTCACATGCCCCAACTAACCTATTTTTTCACTACGGCAGAGGCTCAGGTGAACAAAGCAAGGTGTATTTAACAAAATAAAAAGATGTCTAAGTAAAATAAATTATGTTTGCTATCTCTGACATGCTTACCTCAGTGCAATGTATGACTTGGACACTTATCAAGCAGTCATGTACAGGTAAAAACAAACTTGTAAAAACTGCAGCACACCCAACCTTGTTGGAGTAATGATGATGCCTGTTATCAATGCAAAACTGTGACAATGTGTGTACGTACATGTGATGTACATGTATTTGTATTTTTGCAACAGTTTGCTTAACTCTGCCACATCTGCTCTCGACAGGACAAAGTCCACATCAAGACAGATGCTTTTGCTTGTTATCCGATGAATATTTAACAGGGTTTTCCCACTGAGAATGGTTCACGTACGTGTGTCTAACTTCGATGGTGACATAATAAGGAAATTTATTCTGGACCTAACCCCAAAAGACAAAACAGGCAAATCACAAGTACATGTACATGTATGCCTTTTGTGCCAGCAGATGCACCAGAAAGGCACCCACACAATTTCATACACAAACAATATTTGCATGAGAACGCCTCCAATTTCTATGAACAGGCTGAGTAAATGGCTTGGGACTGCATATTGACGTGGCATACAGTCTTACTGGTATGATCCGTAATGCATCCACCAGCCAAAAGCAGTACCGTGCATATAGTTTTAATGTCTCAATTGGTTCAGAGCTGACTCTGCACGTAACACACAGTTCGCAAGTTGACTTGGCTCTTGTACAATGTATGTAACATGTATCATATGCCGTGAATTATCCTGCATGTACAATATAATCTGCCGGTGAATTTGCATCACGTACACAACACCCCAAATAGACAAGTGGACGCGTTTGGGCTATTTTGTACAAATACGTACAGGATAGAGGAGGCACTGGTACTGACATGCTTACAATAAAGTGTTGGGGAAACCCCTTTTTGATTGTACGTGCTGAGGTACATGTTCATGTATTTTGTTACAAATAAAACACAAATAAACAGCTACACAATAAAAATATATCATCGGACTATTTTGATTTATTAATTTTTTTTAGACCATGATCATTTGGTCAATGACACAGAAAACATCGGATAATTTTTTTTGTTCAAGTTGGGCAAAGTTGGTTTGACAAAGTCCTGAGCCAGATCTATGGTTATCATCGCAGGACTGGCTCAGTAAACTTTGGAAGTACTTTTCTTTCTATTTTTTTTTCAGGTTTCCATTGCTTTAAACAGGAACTGTGAATAATCTTCACATGGAGTGTACAGTGCTTTGTGTAAGCCAAAAATGGTGCAAACACTGACTGTACACGAAACACAGCATAAAGTATACGTGCACTAACTGACAGGGCTTTAGGATCCGTCCCAGTGGTGTACTCAATGCTAGGATGTGGCTTAGCAGAAGTGTAACATCGATACAGCAAGCACAGGCCTTGCCAATAAATGGACACAGGAAGTCAATGCCAATGCACTGGTTTTAATGCCGACTTATATGAAATATTTGTTTTTTTTGTTGTGGGAAAAAAGGACAGAGAGTAACATACCACGTGAGTGAAATGGCACCTTACAAAAGCCCACGTAGAAATGAAAATTAGTGATGATAGCATCTTTTGTCAGATGGCTGACTTGACTAATTGTATGATGTTGACTCAGCCGGAGTTCAATGATATTTCTTTATCTGAAGCAAATAAAAGTGCACAGACAATTCAGGAGCCAAGGGGGTGTTCAGTATACCCAATACGGCTGTTTCACAATAGTGCGCCACCAAGAATTTGCAACGCGTTGGCCGATCACAACGCGCGAAATTTGTCGACCCTTTCCAAACGCACATTGGGTCCACAAATTTCGCGCATTGTGATTGGCCAACGCGTTGCAAACTCTTGGTGGCACACTAATGCGAAATGACCGTATTATTCGGTATTTGGAATTGTACTGTAATTGTTATTTTAATACTTTCACTCAAAGTGCATGAAAACCTTTGACTACAGCTGACACATTTGCATGCAGGCCAACTTTCTGACAATTACTCCGGAAATTTTACACGTACATGCACATTCACTTCATCACGTAGGTATCGATTTTGCCCTCCTCATCTCATGACTGCTCTTACCCTTCAATTCCTTCTTCCTCGCTGACGGGACGGTTCAACTCCCCCGTGGACTTAGACTTGACCCCTAGGCTCTCCTCCCCCTCCCCGTCCTCTTTGCCAGGCCGCTTCTTCTTGAAGAAGTTCCGTATCGACTTCCAGGGCTTGAATTTCTTCTTCTTGGCACTGCCGGGGTCCTCTAGAGTAGAGCTTTGAGCTACAGAGGGAAGAATTTTCATTTAATACGATTATCTGATCCATCCAAGAACAAGTAATGACATGTTTTCACATATGGTGTGGGACAATATCCCTTAGGGGAGAAAGGCAGTTCACGTGTGCATACTGGTTCATGTGCACTTGACCCTGGCAAATTCCTGCAGTGTATGCCAGGTTTTCAGTCTTTGCGTATTTGCAAAGATAGAGACCGACAGATGAAACATGGAATGCATTTATTTGCTTAATAGACAGGCACAACTTGTGAGGTGACGAGAAAGGTACTGTCATATCAATGGCCTCCTTAGCACTGACTCGAGGAGGAACATGAGATGAACACACTTGTTTACAAACTACATTGTAAATGTACATCTTGTACCTAGGTTGTCATTTCCAAAAGAGAAAATCAAAAGCCACTGTACATGTACCTGTACAAACATACAATATCACTTGTACTGCATCCTACATGACCCACCATTTCAGGCTGAAGAATTCTGGAATAGATAAGTCTTGAAGGTTTGCATGGTAAAGAGGTATAATAGAAAGTAGGTTTGCGGTAGCACCATGGACGTATCTCTTTTGTGAGTATTTGTGGTTCTGAAAAGAACCAGTGGTACTCGACGTTTTGAGCAGTATGCTCTGCTTGTCATCAGGAGAATGCCGGATTCTGGAATGAGTATACCAATATAAACTAGTAGGTACATGTACATGTATGCATGTACAGTGCAAATTCACACCTACATGTAGATGTGTCATTCTCCAGAACTACATGTACCAATACAAAGCTTAACTTGGGGTGGGGGAGAGGAGTCGTCAAACATGAAATTACTGACATGTACATGTATTTTTGCCTTTTTTTTAAATGGTGGATAATCTTGGGTCGCACATTATTGTGGAAGATGAAATCACGGTTTATGCATAGACATTTCTTAACTTCATACATGTACATATGATTTACTTGGGCAACATTTCAATGATTTGGGTACGGCCAGATATATCACATGTTTGCTTATGACAGGTCACTGGTTATACTCGTAGTGTAACAACTTCTGCTGTATTTCTCATACATGTACATGTAGGTATGTGTGTTACTCCTGGCTGCAGCCAGTTGATTCAGACAAAAGAGGTTTTTCTTGTGAGGTAACATGACGAGTAAAGGCATTTCAGGAAGTGTACCATGTCCGTGGATAAGCATGTGTTTTCGAATCTTGTATTTGTATTGGCAGGTCCACGTACACACATACAGTACATGTAGAATGTACGCCAGAATGTTGAGAGACTTTGAAGGTGCACTTGTCTCTGAATGCTGACCATCCAAAATCATGAGACTGAAAATTCTGTATACCCTGGTGTACAAAGCATCAAGAATGAGCACTGGAGTAAACATATTCGACACTATGCATGACAGTTCATGCCATCTTCAAAAATGTATACTGGGGATATATCCAAGTATTGTACATTTTCCTGTCTGGTTTAAACCTCTGTGGCACCGCGCCCCTCCGACGAAGGCGAGCTCCTCCTCGAGGCACGGCACATCGGACGGCACGCTGGAGAGTCCCTGAGTGGCTAAGCACGAGTCCGTTGGGACCGAAGTATACCGTCCCCCAAGAAAGTTGGTCTTCGTCAAGATGACGGCTAATCTGATTGGTCGAAACTAAATGACATAACCCGGACAGACCTGCCTTGAAATACATGTAAACTTCGCCTGGACACCTGACTTATATACAACAATTAATAAGCGGCTGGTTTATTCATCAACACACTCAACCAATATACCAGCAGAGGGCGCTATTGACGGGGAGACTGTGTGATTATACGTGACCGAACTTCGCCCAGAGCAGCGAACACCACAATTAATTTCTGGGCATCCAGTGCCACATCAGGGACTTTAGCAAGTCTACGGGACTTATTGTCAGGGCTGTGCTTCCCGTAACTCACGTCACGAGATAGCAATCCGCCCTTGCATCGACCGCAAGCTCCTATCAGGAACTATACCGCACCACCAATTAGCCCCTCAACCTACCGAGCCCCCCAATGACACACGCACCACTCGGACTTAGGCAAAGTCACACTAGGCTAGGTGACTTTAACCCTTGCACAGGATTCTCGACCCTTACCTCAGGATCAGCCCTTGATCAGGAAGACTAATCCTTGCCTGCGCGCGCCTTTTATTGCCTTCGTGACCACTACCCACAAGGCGGAGCTTGTGCGCTGCGCTCACTTGACACACAGCTATGCACGCCTAACCCTCCTTTGGTTTTACAGCACAAATATGCACAAGTGCCCACAGTCACTCTCTTGCATGTTGGTGCAGTGCACAACACAACATGGCTGTGCTTCTTTGAGGTGTTTACCAAGTGACCCAAAGAGTGACTTCAACATAGGAGGGAATTAACATCTGCCTCTGTTACTGGGCACAGCGCCATCGATAACTTCGCACCGCGCATGGTGATTAGCGCCCTCTGTCACGTCACACCTCCTTGGATGGGTTTCCATTGTTACTATCACATTTGAAAGTGTGGGAAAGAATCTTGACTTTTTGGCTTTTCTGCAACCAACAGGAGCAATTTTTTATTCAACTCACTGACAACAAGGACTACAATGTGTACAATTTCAGTTAATTAATGGATGTCTGCAACAGCTATAGTCTTGAGAAACGCCTTTGGTAAAAGGAACCACTTCCCCAACCTATTGTTAACTAACCCAAATAAGAAGAATATAACATCCCTCTTTAGTAACCCATGCTCATATATGTATGTGGACACATGAAATGCACATCATGCATGTTTATCTGCTCATTCAACAAACAGTATGCAGATTTGTACTTGATGCAGTCTATGCGACCAAAAAATTGCCATTTACATGTACACGACAATGCCATAATTACAATGTACATGTAAATCAGATGGTAATGAAGTTATTGTAGTTGTGACGAATTCATTGTAGAATTCATTACAACTACAATAACTTCCACAAAATAAGCAAAAATAATCTTTTCATAATAATAAGAAAAGGCATAATTATGAGAAAAGCTTGCTGTAGCTTGCCAAATATGGAAACACAAGAGCTACATGTACTCACATAATAAAGAAACCATTGCAATCACATGGACAACATACAGTACATGTGCATGTACACATATGTATACCGTATGTATCACAGTAATATTTAGGGAACCTTATTTCTTGATCTCTAGCCAACATATATCGTACTTGTATAGCGTAATTCGACCAGCAGAATTAGAAGCCATTACTGCAGTGGCACAACACGCGTGGACAGGTGGTACGCACGCGTTACATGCCTCTTCGACCAATAGGGTGTGTTGATTTGCCATTTGCACGCGCGCGTCAAGCTGAAGAATGTGCGTGTGAGTACAGTGCCACCACAGTTAGGGCGTCTAATCGGATTAGTCTATAGCCAACACTAACACATGCACAACCAACACACTTCACTCTACATGTACTGTATGTCAGTGAACTGAAAAAGAAAACACATAAACAAGGCCTCAAGAAGTTGTTTCCCAAAGAGTACCGGTATGTTGCAATGAGAAACGTTTATGGCACTGTTCTACCGTATGTACAAGCAGGAGAACATACAGTAAACTGTGCCCCCTTGCCCAGGTGTATGTACATGTACCTGCAAGGGGTCAAAGGAGACCACATGCAGGAACCAGTTGACAAAATATGACTAACAATACAGGTTGTTTGCCTGCTGTCTAGCTACCATTATCAATGGACTGAATGCAACAAAATGATATTCCTCACAGTCTTTTGTACATGCCCAGTCAGTGTGCATGCGGTTTCTCCACTGCATATGCTCACACTCGCCAGAGACTGATTTAGACAATATTTAATGCTTATGGACATCTCGCAATGGTACAGTTTCTACCAATGAACTTAATAACAACCTGTCTCAGCACAAAAATACAAGCATTACAACCATTACACCAGTACATGTACATGTACATGCAGTTTGCTTTGAATTTCAGTTCAACAAATCTTGCAGAACAAAACAATATATAGGCACCCGCCATGTGAAGCATCTATCCTCATGAGATCCACATTCATGAGGATGTCAAAATGAGTCATATCTAAAAAATAAAAAATATTTAGAGCCTATGCTTTTCTGATGGAAATGAGTGAAAAATGATTAGGACTCATTCTGAAACATGTAATCAAACATCAGCAAACTTTACAAGGATTCAAATTAATTACAGGAAAGAATGGACAAGTTCACATCCGTTCAGCAGTTTGTCAGTTTTGTCACATAATCTTTCATTGCATGTACATATTATACAGTACATGTATGAATGCACTTATAACAAAAACTGATTGAAGTGCAATAGGGTTACAATGCAAATTTGCTATCTGCAGAATGGTACTTTTTAATGTGTAG